TGTGACTGGATGAAATGCTGGAGATGTTTTTTGAGCTTCACATTTCCACAGCCACAGCTGAGAGACAAGAATCACAATTTTTTTTCTAATAGTTTTAGCTAGATTTTATATCAATAGGTTTTATACTTAGCAGTGCCAGTGGTTAAAAGTATTTTTTTTTCTGATTGTGAATAGTTCACTTTCTTAAGCGGTTCAATATTTGGCATCAAAAGGGAATTATTGAAACACTTTTGTAATGTTTGTACTGTACTTCAGAATTCAGTTTTTTTTTTTACAACTAATACAATCGTGTTCATACAATTCATACAACAATTTTTCTTTTATACAGTTGAATGAACGCTGCCTTTGGAGATCTAGCAGTCTTGGCCTTCAGTCTGTGTACTATAATGTTAATAGGCTGTTTTTGTGCAATCTTTTGTCGAAAAATGTTTTGGTATTGTAAAGATGTTTTGAATTTTTATATTGTGGCCTTTGAGTTGATTTAGCACTGCACCTGTCAGTCAGTTTGTACCTTCATTGAAGTTCTTATTTTAAAGTCTTTTTTGACTTGTTTGTTTTTTCTTTCTTTCTTTTTTGTTCTGTATCACAGCACAACACTCACTAAAGATTTTAGTTTTTCTGAGGCAAAACATGCTTGAACTGTTTCTTTTTTTGGTGTGGACAATCAATTGGTTTACATCCCCTTCATATTCATCTTTCCAAGCAAATCATCAACATGAAATTGCTTTTGCCATTCATTTTGCTTCTGTAATGTCATGAATGAAAAGAAAATGAACGATGGAACAGTATTATCTCAGAAATCGATTGGCTCGTGAAAATTGGAAGAATGAGAGGTAAATTTGCGTATCAGCACATTGCCAGTACCCATATTTGAGGAAGCTTTTTGACTTGGAGGCCAAAGGTCAAGCTCATCTGCTGGAGCATCTTCACGTATCTCAATGGTGATGCTTGTTTCAAATCTGTTATTTGCTATTGTAGGGTAAATTTTGATTTTATATGAATGCAACAATTCCCTTTCCAAAAGTTTATAGTTATTAAAACTTGTCATTTTTACTTTTCTCAGCACAGGAGCTTTCAATGGTGTTTGTTATAAATGTAGGCTCTGTTCCAAAACCTGGTGGGTTGCCTTTGCCGCCTGCTCCCTCATACAGTATGGAAATGAAATGGATCTCCATCAGTATTATTTAAAAACTGTTTTAGTATTAATATTTTGAATGAAATAAGTCTGTTTTGGTAATTTTGTGTTTGTCATTTTTATCATAAAAAAAAAATTCTATTTAGCTGTAATTTCTTGGACGCGAGTGGCGCGGCGTGACAAAAAACTATAGAACTCATTATAATCAGTGATGCTCTCTACACCATAGATATATATATATATATATATATCTACATATCTGTGGTCTACACTGGATGCAGCGTGGCACGACATGACAAATCCCCGACAGAAAACTGCTGCTGCGTTCTATTTATGACGTATTGACACAAATTTCAAATGATTTTCAACGGTCACTTTGTCGCGTCCAGTGTACTAGACAGACTTTAGCTGTTGCGGCGCAGACAGTGTTACTCAATTATCGAGAAGAAACAAAGCAACCTCGGCATCTGATCACAGGCCTTCCGCTCCTTGAGTTCGCTCCAGCGCTGGAAAGCTGATCCGATATTTACACGGGTCCTACTTCTTGCCTTAAGCCTTCTTTTGTGCCGCAGACGGCAATGCTGCCTTTGAATTTGGCCAAAAGAAGCTTCTTCTTCTAAAGCTGTGCAATTGTGCTGCCTACCTTTCTGAACAACCTTTTGTGCTACTGCTACCTTATAATATTGCCTATATAGTCAGCTCACTAGGTTCCAAAACGGCAACTTTTTGAATCTCTTGAACACATTTTTTTTGTTTCAGGAAGAACCTTGTCTCCCTGTTCTACTCCATGGTTCATATCAGCAGCCCTGATGTTCCTGGAAAAACACATCTATGTTGTTTTTCCTCATTATAACAGTCGCTGTCATTAGCATCCTGTGAGTTAAGAGCATCAGGGCGGGATCTGCAACCCTCAGAATGTCCCCTCTGCCCCCAGCGAAGGACATGAAGGGCCCACCCATGGAGCAGAAGAGGAGTTGGGGTCTCTGTGCGTGTGTGTGAGAGAGCGAGAGAGACAGATAAGGGGGTCTTGAGTTGCGTGCCTCCAGCTGAATTGTGTAGTGACACGTGGGAGTGTGTCGGGGTGGTTGTGAAACCCTGGCTGAGCATGTTCGTTCTCTGAGGAGCGGCAGAAGAAGAATGGAGAGATAGCGTGTGCTCATCCATCAGTTAGATGAACTAGGGCTGTTTATAAACACTGGGCTGCTGGGAATGTTCTAATGAGCCCACTCATTCGCATAGTGTGCATCCAGAAATCAGTCATTATATTTTACTTAAACAACTCCTCATTCCCATCACGGCCCTCTCTGATTGTGTTCAACAGGTCCAAACCGTTAAATACCTATTCAGAACTTTTTCTGCCAACAGTGAGTTGATCTTGATCTTGAAAGCTGGACAGGACGACGTTAAAGTGTCTTTTTTGATGTATTACCGACTTTCCGTGCCCCTGTGTTTAAACTTGCACACGTACTGGTATGTGTTTGAATTAACGGTTTGTGTTGGAGGGAAGTGCAGTTTGTTTTGCGCATGTGTGTTCCAGTGTGTGTTTGGCAAGTGTTGGACGTCGGGCTGAACTGCTGTCAGTGTCAACATCACAAATGCAAGAGGCATATCAAGCTGAGATCCAGCACATGCAACATCAGAGCTGGTGAGTACACAATCTGTTTTTACTAGAAACTGTCAGCACTACCAGCGTTTTAGTAAATCAATTCTATCAATTCTTGCATATGAATTTGAAAAAATTTTATGTTTTTTTTTTTTTTTAATGGATGATTTGGAATGCATTGTAAAGAAAAAGCAGCCAATAAGTGTCCAGCATACACGAAGTCTGCTTTGTTTAAAAAGCATCCCAGGATGCACCTCATAAAGTTGGTTCCATATAAGAAAGAAATTAAAATATAAGAGAGTTTTCATTTGCTATGCGAGTTATAATCACACACTTATTGTGTTATTTCATACTGTTGATAAATGTATATATATTTTTAAATGTGGAACAATTACAATACTTGTGTTTGGTAAGATTTTTTTTTTTAATGATTTTAAAAGTACTTCTTATGCTAACCAGTGCTGTATTTATCTGATCAAAAATATAGTAAAAATAGTATTTAATCTATTTTAAAATGTAATTTATTTCTGTGATGCAAAGCTGAATTTTCAGTATCATTACTGCAGTCTTCAGTGTCACACGATCCTTCAGAAATCATTCTAATATGCTGATTTGCTGCTCAAGAAACATTTTTTTATTATTATCATTATCAACGTTGAAAACAGTTTAATATTTTTATGGAAATAGTGATACATTTTTTAATGCATGTTTTCTCATATCAACCCTAACCCTAATCTTTAATGAACAGAAATGCAAAAGAACAGCATTTATTAGAAATAGAAATCTGTTGCAACATTAATGAATGTCTTTACTGTCACCTTTGATTGATTTAATACAAAAAAATATTTTAGAAAAAAGTGTTTTTAAAATTTTAGACATAACACTGTGCTTAAAATATCTCTCTAAGCAAGAAAGATATTTTATTGAGTTCAACAAATTTTCATGAATGTCTTGACGTTTTGTGAATCAGTTTAAACCTTTCCAAGTTCCTTTGCTAAGCAGCAGTTCTGCCATTTTTGGGTATATTTTAAAGTCTCCTTCCTGTGAACATGACAGCTCTGTTTCCCAATATTCCAAATCTAACAGACAACTTAAGAATGTTTGAAATGTTGGCGTTTGTCGAAGCAGACATTCTGTTGCATGTTTATTCTGTCTGTGAGCTGCTACACGGAAGTCAACATCACAGACAGAAATCAATGATAAGTTGCCATTTAATCAATATGCACTTTGTTTTTAATAGACTAGACTGCTTCAACTGCGTTATCTTTGTGGATACCTTACATTTGTCTGTCGTGATGAACCACTGTTGATAATCATACATTTAAAACATTACAAGCACCTCTGGACTTTAATCCGACACCCCCCTTTGCGTCACTTTTGTGCTACTGCTAACTTATCATATTTCCTATGCAGTCAGCTCACTAGGTTCCAAAACAGCACCTTTTTGAATCTCTTGGACACATTTTATACATAAATACAAATGTCTAATTTAAGAATCCTGTTTCCTGCTTAAAACTGTTAACACGGCTTGGCTACAAGCAGCTAGCTAACATCAAATGAGATAATAGATGAAGAAATGAAGGCACATGTTGAAAACAGCGGATACAGTGCTGTCCAGATGTTTCTAGATGTTTAACATGATGGCTCACCATTTTCCAAAGCAAACTGTACTCCACTCTTAAAAGAAGGGTTCTTCATTGGCATATGGTTCCATGAAGAACCTTTGACATCCATGGAACCTTCTTTTCCACAAGAGGTTCTTTAGTGGAAAAATGTTCTTCACACTAAGAAAAAACGGTTCTTTTAAGAAATGTTCACTAAAAGGTTCTTTGGGGGAACCAAAAATGGTTCTTCTATGGCGTTATTGGAGAAAAAAAAAATCATTTTTGGAGCCTTTATTTTTAAGAATGAGAACCACTGTTATGATATGCTGAAGGCATGTTTGTTTATATAGTTGCTATTTATGTTTTTGTGAAAACTGTGAAAAATGAATGAGTGTTCAAACTAACCCCATCTAGAATGAACCGTCCATGGAGTTCAAAGAAGGTCTTTTTGTTAATCATGCAGATTTTTTTTTTTTTTTAGCAAAGAACCCATAGTCATTGTGATGGATGGCATGGGAGCGATAGCAAAAATTTCCCTCCCTTGGGTCTCAGAGGCACTAATCATATCTATATTTCGAGTTCAGCCTCTTTGAGATGCTACCACAATAACGCCAACGAGGATGTTCTATGTCAGTGCAATGAGCAGGATATGACAGGGAGTTTTCAGGAAAGCCTGCCCCTTCATGGGGTCTAAAGTATATTGGGTGGGAAGGTTAGATTCTTGCAGTCCTCAATCTTTTCAATGTCAAAGATTAACCGCATGACAAACAGAGCCGTGGCAAACACAGCGTGTATAAACACTCCCTAAAGCCCCAGAGATGAGCTGGATGTCACTGTCATTCCTCTTGGGAAACAGAGAGCGACCCACATTGCCACACAGAACACAAAGTTAAACTGAACGAGAACATGAGGAATTATAGTTCAGAGGATCTAAGGTGTAGATTTGCAAGACATTGAATTGTCCCCCATCAATAATTTGTTTTTTGCATCCACGTTATAAAGAATTTAGTACTGTAACTGTAGCATTGAGCACTTACAGGATTACTGAGAACTTGTGAGTCATGCAGGTGATGTTGAACTTTGAAGCTATTGCTCAATGCATTAATATTGAAAAAAAAAAAGTTTTTTTTCACTATTTATGTTTTTTTTTTTTTAAAGAAACATTTTCAGCAGGGTCACATTAAATTGATCAAATGTGACAGTAAAGGCTTTAACATTGTTACAAAATATTTCTACTACAAATAGAAATAGTCTATTACAAATAGTTATTTCTATTGAACTTTCTATTCATCAAAGAATCCTGAAAAAAATGTACTATGGTTTCAACATTGATAATAATAATAATAATAATAAGGATCAAATCAGCATATTTTGATTTCTGAAAATTCAGATTTACCATCACAAGAATAAATTATATTTTACTATATTTTCCAATAGAAAATGGCTATTTTAAATTGTAATAATATTTCACAATATTACTGCTTTCACTGTATTTTTGATCAAATAAATGCAGCCTTGGTAAGCATAACAGATTCTTCCAAAAACATTTTAAAAACCTTACAGACTCCAAACCTTTAAATGGTATATACAAAATATAATATTTGCAGTGTATCACAGCGTGTAAATGAAAATTGTGCTGAATATTACTTTATAGATAGATACCCATTAAAAATCTTAAAAATATGGCCCAGTGTAACCCCTAAAAATTGCATTAGTCCTGGAACAATATTCCAATCAAACATCCTCCTTGGCAAAAGAATATGGTTTGTTGTGCGAACTGACTACAGTAAAATCAACACATTTTCAGTTTCATTTATGTTAACGGGCTTATTATTTATATTCACATGGTACTGGAGACGTGAAAGAGAAAGTTTTGTTTTACACCATTGATAGAACATATCAGTGCTCCGAAATTTGTGTGCAATAACTCATTGTTCACAGCAAGGCTGACATTTGTTTGCAGCATGAGCATGTTCAGATACAATACAATGCATTGTGTGATGTTTTAGGGTTAAAGAAAACATCTGTAAACTTAACAGATAATGTCCAGACAGAAAACTGGTAGTATATTTTTCTCTAAGTGATAGTTAGTTTCTGATAGTGATAGTTAGGGCTGAAGTTAAAGGAACACTCCACTATTTTTGAAAATAGGCTCATTTTCCAACTCCCCTAGAGTTAAACAGTTGAGTTTTACCGTTTTCGAATCCATTCAGCCGATCTCCGGGTCTGGCGGTAGCACTTTTAGCTTAGCTTAGCATAGATCATTGAATCTGATTAGACCAGGGGTGCCCAACCTCGGTCCTGGAGGGCCGGTGTCCTGCAGAGTTTAGCTCCAACCCCAATTAAACACACCTGAACCAGCTAATCAAGCTCTTACTAGGCATACTAGAAACTTGAAGGCAGGTGTGTTGAGGCAAGTTGGAGCTAAACTCTGGAGGCCCTCCAGGACCGAGTTTGGGCACCCCTGGATTAGACCGTTAGCATCTCGCTCAAAAATGACCATGGGTGCAGCAGGTGCAATGATATTACACAGCGCCTGAAAATAGTCCCAGCTAGGTAACTTCCAATAAGCCTATTTTCAGGCGCTGCGTAATATCATTGCGCCTGCTGCACCCATGGTACGGCAGCAAAGTTCCTTGATTATTACGCCGGAATGAGAGTATAGTTCCTAGCCATATCGGCCTAGAAAATCGCAACTTTTATTTTCCGTCGGTCTTAGTACACGATGTAACTACAGAAGAGTCAAGTTTTAAATAGGAAAAATATAGAAACTCTTTGGTCATTTTTGAGCGAGATGCTAACGGTCTAATCAGATTCAATGAGCTATGCTAAGCTAAGATAAAAGTTCTACCGCCAGACCCAGAGATCGGCTGAATGGATTAGAAAACGGTAAAACTCAACTGTTTAACTCTAGGGGAGTTGGAAAATAAGCCTATTTTCAAAAATAGTGGTGTGTTCCTTTAAGCAATTTTCAAGTTGCTTGTCAGTGTCAACTTGATGATGCTTTGCACCAGTTTCCGAGCTATAAAATTGCTGTCATTCTGTCATTCATTTACTGATGTCATTCAGTAAACAACCAAAATGGTTGATTTTTTAAAACTATATATCCATTTTGGATCCAATATGGTAGCCACTCTCTTTAAAGTGTATTGCAGGTCCTCTTTAGTTACTGGACAAAAGTGTGAGTTTAGGTACGTTCACACAGCTGCTATTGAATGCTGGGAGTCAGCTACAGGCCAAACCTGTTGAGGGTGTTTCGGACAGACTGCTCTATGTGAGGCCTTTTCATTGAAACTCATGCCAGAGCAGCTGTTCGGACACACAGGCCTCATCTCTCATCTTATTCTCACAGTCGATGCTCTTCAGATCCTCTCACAGCCCCAGAGGAGGCCAGACGCCTAAAAGACAGTGACGCCTAAAATAGCTCATCTTTCTCTAGGGTTGGAGGGCTTGCTGAAGACATATTTGAAGGCATTGGATTATGATCCTCAAACAGGGTGAATGATGGTTTTTGTGCTCTTTATAGATTCAGACATTCTCAGTGAAGAGCGAGAATCCAACTGATCAGATGAGAGAGGGGACAGATCCTGAGCTGAGCATGTCTATCGGCGGCTACCTCTCCACATCAGACACATTTGACATCACAGAGCCGTCACAGTACTATGGTAAGATTACACTTTACTATATATAAATCAATTCATTATGGAATTACAATATTGTTAAAGTGATAGTTCACTCAAAAATAAAAATTACTGTCATCATTTATTCACGCTTATTTTGTTCAGACCCTGAGCAACTAACTTTCTTGCATTTTTTAAAAAATTTTTAAATATATTTAGAAAAATTTGTGTTTTGGTCATACAATGAAACTCAATGGGAACCAATATTGTTTTGGACCCCACTGACTTTCACTGAATCAGTGTTGTTATTGTTAACTATAAATCTTTTAAAACCATTTTTGTTAATTGAAGTAATTACTAAATAATTGCTCAAATAGAAATTTGCTACATAGCAATTTAAAGAAAATAAAAACTAATAAAATTGACAAAAAATAAAATCACTAAAACTAAAATAAAATCTGAAAATATTATAATAATTGCTAATTCAAAATATTAATAAATACTATAATAGTATATTATAATAATGTTTAGTATAGTATAATAATATTTTTGTGGCACTATAACTGCAATAATAAATAAATAAATACATTTACCTGACAAACAAAAACAAAACAAAAAAAAGAATCAGCTAAATAAACTACATGAATAAAATTAAAATTTTACTGGATTCCTTCATTGACGCCATGTTGAAATATGGTCATGTGACCGATCATGTATTATGCACAGTGGTTTGTCATCCTCGAGTTCATTGCATTAATATCTGAATGTCCAAATATTATTTCCCAGATGTTATCTTGAGAAACAATTACTGTCTGAATAGTGCTTTTTCAAAGTCTCAGTTTCGTTTTGTCATTTAACTCACTGTGGCGTCTAGAAGGTCAGTCAATGATAGTATATTAGCAGCTGCTCACCAACATTAATGTTTATGAAAAACTCCAGTGGTTTACAAACAGATACTTCCACCAGAAAGTTATGCTCTAGCAGTAACGGGACATAAAACATCTGTGAAAAAGACAGGATTGAAGGCCAATAAAGAGACCACCACACTGCAGAAGGATATTTATGGATGACATGGAAAAACAGACATGGATTTGCTGGAATTGGTTGGATGAGATTAGTTTTACTCAACTACGTATAATTTTTTCTCATGTGAAATATGATATTCTTTTGCTCATGTCACTACTAGTTCTGAAGTGTCCGTCACGGCGTGAAAAAAAAAACTTGTGCAGATGTGCTTCAGAAATGCTGCCAGTTGTGACATATGTTCCCTCTATGGGGGAACTCGAATCTAAAATTCATCTTCACAACCTTCCCACTGACAGAAAAAAAAACATCAGGATGGCTCCGTTCTGTACAGTTATAAAAACCCCATAAGCTTCAAAGCAAATAACAACCATAAACAAAACTGTAACCTCTTCAGCTGCATCCTGTTTCCAGAGACAGAAAAGATTCAAAAGTTCTAGCTCTGGGATTTTTTTTATTACGTCCCAAAGGCCTCATAAAAGTCGTTAGGTAATTTGAGAATCATGTGAAAAAGGAACATATTTCTTGTGAATCGTTTCATTCATCAAGATGTTCTTCAACCCTTGCTGCAGATGATCTTGTGGATCCACTGAGCTGCTCTTATCAGGAACCAGATCTACAAAGCCCTCTCTATGGCCACCAGCCGTTCAGCCACGTCAATGTGCAGTTTTCAATGTATGGAGCGCCAAACGCTCAAGCATGCAACCCGCCGTACCCCTACAGCCATCAGTGCTCTGAATTCACCTGTGAACCAGACATGGAGGTCCAAAGCCCAACAAGAGGCAGCATTGTCGGTCTTCAAGTGCCAAAAAGGCCCAGGATGAACCATGGAGCTCAAGTGAAGGGCCAGGATGAGCTGTGTGTGGTGTGTGGAGATAAAGCCTCGGGATATCACTACAATGCCCTCACCTGTGAGGGATGCAAAGGTTGGACGATCACAATAGCACTGAATTTTAAGACAACATTAATCCATGATGCACTTCTTGAATTCACAGTATTTACTAATGTCCAAAATCAGTTGAGTACTTTCTTTCCTGTGTTCTTTTGGGTGGGATATATCTAAGAGCTTGTCTCATTTTTTTTTTAAATAGCCAAAAGCAATGGACTATGATTTGGTACTTGCTATTGCTATTTGCTTGTATATATCTCCAACTCATCAACATGTTTGGTCTGTTTCCCTGAATGAGAAAGACTGTGAATTTTAAGAATATACACTACCATTCAAAGGTTTGGGGTCAGTAAGTTTTTTCTTTCTTTCATAAAATACTTTCAGCAAGGATGCGTTAAATTTATCAAAAGTGACAGTAAATACGTTTATAATGTTACAAAAGATTTATATTTCTACTTTCTATTAATCAAAAAATCCTGAAAGAAATGATCAGTTTTCACAGAAATATTAAGCAGAAAAACTATTTTCAACAGTGATAATATTTCTTGAGCAACAAATCAGCATATTAGAATGATTTTTGAAACATCATGTGACATTGAAGACTGGAGTAATGATGCTGAAAATTCAGCTTTGCCATTACAGGAGTAGATAACAGAAAAATATTTTAAATGGTAATATTTCACATCATTACTGATTTTTCTGTATTTTTGATCAAATAAATGCAGCCTTGTTGAGACTTCTTTCAAAACCATCAAAAAAAGTCTTGCCGACCCCAAACGTTTTAAACAGTAGAGTATCTCTCTTGGTTTAGGTTTCTTCAGACGCAGCGTGACTAAAAAGGCAGTGTACCGCTGCAAGAGTGGTGGAAGCTGTGAGATGGACATGTACATGCGGAGAAAGTGTCAGGACTGCAGACTGCGCAAGTGCAGAGCCGTCGGGATGCTGGCAGAGTGTGAGATTGACGTAAAAACTTCTAGCCTGATCTGAATCCTCACGAGTCTTCGTTTTCTGTCATTTCTGGGGAAACTGATAACGTCAGCTGCTACTTCACCCAAAAACACTTATAATCTCATTGGATGTTGATTGCTGGTGTCTTTTTGTCAGGTCTGCTTACAGAGGTGCAATGCCAGTCAAAGAGACTGAGGAAGGGCACCAATCACAGAGGACACAACGGATCAACAGGAAGAGCTGAAGATGACTACACTGAAAGCAGAAGTGTCTCATCCACCAGCAGATTCACCACACGGGTAAAACTCTATCGTATTATTTTGACTTTCCAAGCATGAAATTTGAGTTCTAGTGAGATTTGAAGCCTGTTATATTTAAAAAATTCAGAACAAGTTTCTTGTCTTCAAAATACTGTTTGCAGGTATCTGGTTTCTCCAGAGAGCAGAGATGCATTCTGAATAGAATTGTTGAGGCTTATCGTAGGTACATAATTCAAGACAACACGCACTGCCGGGTATGTCTTTTTCCATTAAAGTGCCCCTATTATGCCTTTTCGAATATTACCTTTCATACAGTGTGTCATGTAGCTAGCTGTATGTGAACAAACTATCTGCAAAGTTGTGAAGCTGACAGTGCACGATAAATAACGTTATTGTCTATCAAAAAAAAAAAGAGTCGGCTTGCAATCGCCTAAACGAGTCGTCAGGAATTCGAATCTTATTCTGTTACGGCTCTACGTCACGAAGTAACACATTTGCATAATGTCTGCCCACGTTCTACGTCGCCAACTTGCCCGCCCACAAACAGTAAAATTTCCGTGTGGTTAACATAATGTTGAGAAGACGCTGTATCTTACACTGTGAGATTAAATTTGTTTTATCACATCTTATAATTACCACAAACTTGTTAACACTTGACACTTACCACTGAGAAACGTCCTGCTCCAGTCGTGCTTGCGAATCAGTCTCTTGTCGATCAGCCACTTCAACCATTTCAATTGAACCATACAATCATCGATACCATCTTTTCTATGTATTGACAAGTCTCCAGGGCTGTCATTCTGTCATGGCTATGGGCGTTTCGTTTCCGACACACGCTATACGCGGTAGACCAATCCAGAGCCAATCGCTCTACGGCTCTGGACCAATCACAAAGGACTGCGCCATCTGACCAATCACAGCAGTGAGGGCTCACGGAAAGGAGGGGTTTAGAGAGACTGATTCTTTGAACTGCTTCGCACGAGTCGTTTACGAATCATTTAGAAATGAGGTAAAATTAAATCTATTTTTTGAGAAAACGTATGTGTTTTTTGACCTTGCATGCATGTAAACCTGTTTTAGGAGACTCGTAAAACAATATTAGCAACCTTAAAAATGGCATAATAGGGGCACTTTAAAAATGAAGACAGACATACTGCCCATAATATATAATAACAAGACATCATTTTTTTCTTTCCCCAGGTGCCTCTGTGGTCAAGTTTGACAAACAGTGTAGATCTGACTCCTCCTCAGACAGAGAAGCTTTTGCAATTTTTAAGGAGTGTACCTGGTCAGTATCATCCAACCCTTCTTAGATCACAACACACACCTCTAAATACAACTAATTTATGGTCATCTTTTGTTTAGGGTTTGAGCTTTTGGATAGTTCTGACCAGAACACTCTTCTGTCCAGCTCTTCAGTTGAAGTCATGTTCCTACTCTTAGCTCAGCAGTTCTCTGAGAACCCCACTACTGTTAGCACTGGTAATCACATACATTATTACATAATCTGCTTGTTAAGACTGACATCATGTGTCTATTTCCAAAAGCAAAAACAAACAGTGCTAATATAGACTCACAATGTGCTGTACTACTACCAAAAAATCATGATCCTAATTTTTATATCCGTATTGAAATTTCAGTTGGCCAGACAGTGATTCATCTTTTATGAATAGTTAAAATATTGGTGTCCGGGACAATGCGATTTTTTAACAGCTTAGCTGAATCGTGTGCTATAAATAAATTGTGCTCATAAAGTATCGTTAAAATTGTCAATTGAAACAGAAAACTCAACACATTATAGATCAATAATGACTCACTGCTGTGTTTTCTATCACCAGCTTTATACTCAGCAAATTTGAATAACTCAAACCCTGATTGGGTGAGAACTTTAGAGTCCAAGACTGGGATCAGGACATTGACACACTCAGGTGATCTATAATGAACAGTGATAATCATAGCAGGAAAGTCTCACATTACATGCAGTGATTAATTCAACTGATATAACTGTATATACTGTCTAAATGTTTTTGTCTCTACTAATATTGTGATTTTGATTTTTGTTAAGGGTTGAATGATGAGTTCTTGAGGTCTGTGGTAAATTTCCTCCACAGCATGGAGACTATTGTGGTAACTGAGGCTGAATATGCACTTCTAACAGCGACTGCAGTGTTATGCTCAGGTCTGTGGATTATGATGAACAAAATTGTGACTAATTTCCATGTGATGTCACAATATTCAGAACACTATATTCAGGTCAGACAGCAAATGACAAAAGTTTAGCTTACAAAATAAAAGTTTTAGGTTTTTGCAATTGAGAGATTCCATGGATGTTAAAGGTTCTTCATGGAACCATTGACGCTAATAAAAACCTTTATTATTAAGAGTGTATAGAACCGCTTCAAATGACCTCCATTTTTTCCCTGTTGTGAAGCAGACAGGCCGTCTCTGCGTGCGGTGGGCTGTGTTGAGAACTTACAGGAGTTTGTTTTGGAGCTCTTGTCCCGAGCTTGCTGCTGCTGTAGTCAGGGGACGGCACAAGACCCGCGACGCTTTGCCAGGCTCCTGGGACGGTTGACAGAGCTGAGAACACTACGACACAACCACCTCACCCTTCTCCCACAGCAACCCTGGGGCATGCAGTCTTGAGACAGCCTTTAGGGAGAGAGATTTATGACATCTGATCTCTGTTGCAATACACTTTTAATTTTTGCCCAGAACAATATCCTAGGTCAGTGTACTTTTGGTTACCCATGTGCAAACATAGTTTAGTTTAATAAAAAAATAAAACCAATGTAAGCTCCATGATGTGATGATTTCTTATATGCACTAAATAAAAATGTTTATTTTGTGTTAGTGAATACTTGCTTTTCATTCATGTTGTAATATACATGAATTTGCATTTATTATTCTGTTTATCAATTTTCAGATCCACGCTAATAATAAATATGTAATCATTTTCTTCAGAAGCTTCAAGTCCATTCAGATTTTGAGCCAAGCTTTTTTTTTTTTTTTACTTTTTTTTATGATAATTGTATTACACATTTTTTTAATAGTGCTACAAATTCATAACCTTTTGGCAAAATTTGTCGTTTTGAATCCAAAATGTAATTTAAGTAATTTGTGTAGAGCATGGTTGTAAGTGTCCAAACATTTACAAAAGATGAATTTGTCAACAGAAGACCACCTAATAGTTTCAGCCTTTAATGATATTTTAATTATATAGCATGCTTTGGGTTATGATTCAAAGTAGTATATGATTAAACTAAACTATTGCCTCACAATCATATAACGAAGTGGCAGGATTCTCACTGTTGCCCCCTTAAAAAATATGTGCATGACAATTTTCTCACCCTAATTTTAAGGCTGGAAATTACTCTTGGTTGATGTTTCAATTTTACTTTCTCTTTAAATAGCAAAATCGAACTATATTTCATTTATAATAGCAATGTCTGTCTGATGTTTTGCCCTTAAATTTCATCTGTTAATCAAGCAGGTGTTGGTAATCCGTCATACACAAGCCAGAGTAAGACCTGCAACAGTTTTAATTTCCCTGTGACTACAAATGAAACCGTGATAAAGTGGATGTATCATCATATGAATGTTTAAATTTTCAAATTCCAAACTGAAATGAACTTCAATGGGCTTTGAATGTTACAGAGATGCACAGTAATGGGTTGTCTTTTGCTTAGATTTAATCATCTTCCAGCCATTTAAAGGAACATCAAGAACCTTGGAACAATCTAGAAAATAAAATTCATTAACCTCACAAAGTTGAGGTCTATATTGTTTAGTAAAAACAGGGAAAAGTGCTATTTTTTAAGGTATTGAATACTACACCCATTATTGATAAACTAGATTAAGCATTTTATTGGCTTGCTTACTGTTATTTACCATTTAAAATATTGATTTGTGAGTTCATCAAATTAAAGGCATGACTGTAATTGAATGAAAACAGCTAAAGTTTACGGAGTTCATGGATGAATCGCTAATAAATCACTGATCACCAGTGCTTTTCACATTGCCAACAGAGACCTGAATGATGTGTGTCTGAATTTCCGCTATAAATATTGTTTTAATATGATCTGTGACAAGTGCTGTCACAAAACACATCTGGCTAGAGTAGGCTGACATCACCTTATGGGGAAGAAATCATACTGCACGTGTTCTTCCCATCTATGGTTCTTCCAGCATCAACACCGACTCACTGCTCCCCCCCCACAAGGACTCAAGGGTACACTACACAAAGGAAAAAAAATATATAATATTTAAGCAAAACATGAGCAATACACCAACAAGAATTTTACTAGACAATATATGTTGATTACCTCACTAATGGTCAACGTTTCTAGTGTTATTTAATGAAGCATCTATCTCACGTGACCCCTTACAAAAATACACACGCTTGAAATATTTAGCAATTACACATTTATCCCCTCACAGTACCGTCTTGAAAAAATAAAATGTGTCCCAATACTATTGTGAAATGTGAGCATAAAACAATTTCTCACCTTTTATTAATTTTCGCCAGACGCAGTTGGAAACTATTCAGCCTATGACCCCAGCCCTCCTCAAACACGTCAGCCAACCCGATCTCAACAAATCCAAGCGTTCAAGATGATTGACAGATAGAGCGTTTCTGATTGGCTACTTTTCTAATCGGACTAAACAAGCGCGGGAGCTCTCCTGAGTGACTCTTTAATCGGTTTATCGTAATAAACAACTTTTTAGTTATATGTGATAGGTAGAGACGCTTTATGAGGTATTCCAATAAATAAAGATATATCTCCTTGAGCACTTATAAGAATATAATATTTTAAAATGTACAATAGTATTCCACCATTTTTATGGTGGCTTCACTTCACTTTATCTGCTTCCCTCAATTAACTTTTTAAACATGGAAAATATAAGTGCACATCTACTTTATAAAGTTGCTTGTTAGTGTTTACAAATACTCAAAAATGTAAAGTAAAACAATGCATTTATGTCATTCAAACTATTTCAATGATATAAAATTCCCTAAACATGTAATTACAACAAGTAATGCACTGTAATACTGCAACCAGAAAATTACATATATTATTAGGAATTCTAACATTCCAACAGATCTTGAATAAATCTGAAAAAATGCAATACGGTCTACAGTCAAGAAAAACAGCTTATGGTCTTAAAACATCAATATCAAACATAGAAGAGTTTCAATAGAACATTTATTTTCCCACATGAGAAAATACTGTTTGAGACAGGTTATTTGGTGGGTAGCTAAAATCTGCAGTTTGTACAAGCTTAAAATTTCTTAGAGCTTCCATCTTATAAACAGTGAACAAAAGCTCCACAACGTTCTACAATAAATACAAGGTTCTGTGCTTGATGGTGAAAAGGGACCAACAGCAAGTGTACAATATGTAGTCGTCATCATCATCTCTCTAGCATTTCACCTTGAAATCTTAAAAAGAACTAAACCAGGATCTGAAAGAACATGTGAAGTTAGATCTCAAAAGAATATGCAATAGTTTATCATCTTAAATAAGAGATCTGATTTCCATCTTGAACCAATATAATTTAATTCCTTTTTCTCTTTACGGTCCATAAATAAATGACTTTTTTGTATCAAAAATGAGAATATATATTTAACCATAGACAACTGTGAGTTGGTACATATACACATACATACACGATCGTATGTCGGTAATGTACATGTATATGAACACACTCACACCATCCGATATCAAAGACAAGCAGGATACACTATATAGGAAGTCAGTTCATCTGAAAATCTTTTTACACGTGTATATACACAACCTTCATTTCTTCGTTCCTCCAGGCAATTTATTTCACAATAAACAAGAGAAGAAAAAAATTAAATGAGATACTATATGATAAAAAACATACTTATATACACAAGGTGTCTATACAAGTGGTTTGTTAAACTTTAAAAAGTAAAAAGCTATCTTAAGAAAATGGCAGTGATTTATTCAAACGTTTATATTCTTTAAGTTCATTCATTTAAAATTAATTTTTCAGAAATGAATTGCTCTGAATGTACCCAAATGCTAAAACTGTGTGGTTTAGACTCGTCATCACCATAAAGTGACACCTCATAAAAACAAATCATTGATAGAAACCGCTGCCCTTTCATGACCCCGGTCCTGAGAAAGAAAAAACTGGACTGAATCTGAAATGACTGAGAGGGATGTGACCTGAACACATGGATAAACTAAACTGAACTGAATGATCAGGAGTCTAGTACCTGGTGCACTAACCAAATGGCTTTCAGCCCATGTGAATGGGAAGTTAGGACAGATGCGGTTGGCGTTTGTCTTCTACATGAAGTTGGAGCCGACGAAACCATGATCTCCTCGAACTCGGCTCAGGTGGATCATAGCTCGGTCGTAGGCCACCTGCACAGACTTCCGGATGCTGGTCTTCTTGCCCTCCATCATACGCAGTTTATCGGCTGTGTCGTCAGCGCCAAGAGGGATCACCTTGTCTCGTGAAAGCCACTGCCTGCAAAGACAGACATAAGAAGAAGGAAAAAAAATATTCAGCAACAGTTCCTTCTGAATCCATTAAAGCCCACGGATACTTACAATGGATATTGGAAAATGCAAAGTCTGGAGGATAAAACTAAAGGAAAACAAAGTTAATCTCCGATGCTGTGCTCACCAGGTGCGTTTGTTGTCGAAGAAGAGAACCAGGAAGAGTTTCTCGCCGGCTTCTTCCTGTCTCTGCTCACCAAGGTGCAGCACGTCAAGCGGAGGCACAGGGATGGGAACTCCATTATGCAGAAGACCCTCCTGAGGCATGTCTGGATCTATGATCTACAAAATAAGAGCATTTCAAACCATTAATTTTAACCTTTGAATGTCAGTGGCTTGCTTTAACACTATTCACAACACAAAAAACAAGCTATTTGGTGAGAAGAAATATAGGGCTCATGAAAAGTTGAGAAGGAGGATTAGTAATGCTATCCAAAAAGAAAATATGTCACAGAAGTGAAGCAAATTATGATAACATTTTGAAATAACACTGACTAACACAGGTTTTTTTCCAAACTGGGGTTTATGAGTCAACAAAAAGTGGTAATAATTAAATAATAAAAATGTAACCTTATAATTACTTATTTGAATAAAATAAAAATATTCAAAATATAATAATAAACGCAGTAAAAAAAATGTTTTATTTGGTTATGGAACTGCAGGGGGTTTATGAGTTGATGAAATGATAATAATGAATTAAATCCTAAAAATGTGAAATTATATATACTTATTTTACTAAAATAACATTTTAATAACAATCCAAATAACCAAAATATAATAAATAATAAAAGCAATGAAAAAATAAAATACTTGATTTGTTTACCAGTGAAGTGAGTTGATGAAACTCTACATTAAATCATAATTACATCATAAAAATATAAAGGTACAATCACTTATTTCAATTAAAACAAATCAAAATATAATAAATAATAGCAATCAAAATAAAACACTAATGAAAAATAAAAAATGGTTTACCTGCATGTCATGTGACCATTAACTAGAGAAATGTGAATATGATTGTGTTGTTAAATGACTGCCATTATTACAATACTGAAATGTTAACTTCTCAGAGGTGTTTTAGGTCAAAGGGGTTCGACTGACAAAAAAAATGCTTGATAATCCCTGGACTGAGGCATTAATGATGTAAAGGAAATGTGCATTAATGATATAAACAAGGTCACTTTTGATGTCAGGCTATATATATAGATAAAATTCTCAAACATAAAACTTTTTTTTTTTTTTTTAAAGATGTTTACTGGTATGTGTAACTCAAAATAATCGAATC